CATCCACTCCAGGGCAACTGAATGGATCAGCCAGTTAAGTGTCCCACTTCGACTCTGGTCATGATCTCACAGTTTGTGAGTTCGAGCCCCATATCGGGCTCTGTACTGACAGCTCAGAGCCTGGAACCTGCTTCAGATTCTGTGTCTCCCTCTCTCTCTGCCCCTCTCCCACTTGCACTGTGTCTCTCAAAAATAAATAAACACTAAAAAATATCTCAAAAATAAATAAATTAAATAAAATGCATCCACTCCAAGGGTCTATGCTAGGGGCTATGGGAGATACATGGTCTCTGCCCTCAAAGAGCTTGCATGCTCACTGAAGACACAGAGAATGTGAGTCCAGGAGTTCAGGACCCAATGGAAGGGCCAACTGGTGAACTCAGTGGGGCTACAGCACACTGGGAATTCTCTACAGATGCTATGCGCTTTGCAGTGGCCTTTAAAGCCCTCTGCTGTGCTTATAAGTGAGACACCCACCTGCCATCACTTTGGCATTGAATGAGGAGTTGGCTGAAAAAGTGAAGGTGGGGTATGAACGATGAGGACGGGTCACACCAGCCTCCCAAGGGAAAACTCAGAACATAGGCCAGAGACAGAAAAGAGAAAAATCTTTTGAAAGAACTGCTAATGTCTAGCAACAGCAGGAAAGGTTGCTTGAAGAAGATAAGGAAGCTCGTCGAAACTGAGGCAGGAAATCCCATGTGCTGGGATTGAAGTGGCAGGCCCCGGAAAGGAAGGTTTTGTTGCCACTATTTTCTTGAAGTCCTGCAGGGTTTGGGAGGAGGGAATGAAGTCTTCTTTCTCTGTCTGCTACTCAGGTAGTCATTTTTAAGTCTTTAAAACTCTATGAGGAGAAGGGCTGTGCTTTATTCATTTCTGTAATCCAAAGGCTGAGTGCTGTACTTTGCCCATAGTTGCTGCACAAGAAAAATGCCTGTAGAAGAAATGACTGAGCAAACATATGGATGAATTTAGATTCTCCTATAATGGCTGGGGTCTCAGAAGGAGGCAAAACCAGACCTGCCCTACAGGGTGGGAGAGGGAGGGGGCCCTTTCGGTGAGGAGGGTGTTTGAGCTTTAATCTAATGGGTCCAGAGTTCTGTGGTCTGTTATCTGGGGAGAGGATCCCTAGTGTTCATAAAATTCTTGAAGGGGCCCGTGATCTCCAAAAGGTTGAGATTCACAAACAACGTTTCTCCGAACTCTCTTGTTAAACCCTATAACTAGTGGCCCAATTGAGGACATTCCTAACTTACCCTCCCAACCTCGTTTGCCTGCCTCCAATCTCTTCCCTATTATTCATCCTATACAGATAAATTTACTTAAAGTACAATTATGATCATGTCATTCCCTTAATCCCGAAAGATAGCTCCCCCATCACTTGCAGAATGAAGTCTCAACATAGTGCCTCAACAATAAAGTCTCAACAAGCAGGGGAGGGGCAGAGAACGAAGGTGACAGGGAATCCCAAGCAGGCTCCACAGCCATCAGAGCAGCCTGATGTGGGGCTCAAACTCATGAACCATGAGATCATGACCTGAGCCAGAGTCGATGCTCAACTGACTGAGCCACCCACGTACCCCTACTTCCCTTTCCTTAAAACCTTTCTCTGCTTCCTCACTTGTGCTTCAAGCCTGGAGAGCCTCTTCCCAAAACCCTCCCCATTCCTCAGCCTAACTCATGTACTTCCACCATGCAGCGGTGATACTGTTTACCACTGAGTCCACGTATCACTTTGTTTGGGTCTTACGGCTGATGTCTAGTTATACCTCCAAAATCCATTTTCCTCTTCTGCCTGGGTGCAAAGCCACCTAACAAGATATTTCCTAGTCTTTCTTGCAGTTAGGTGTAACTTGCAACTAAGCTTTTGCTATGTGACAAAGCTCTTGTCAAAAGGATATGACAGAAAGTGAAATGGACAAATTCCACCTGACTTGCTTAAAAGGAAATCCCTTCCCTGGACCTCTTTCTTCCTTCACATGAGCTGGAATGTGGATGTGCTTATGACCTTGCTTGGAGCATAACTCTCCCACTGGCCTAGAGTGGCCAGCATGTGATGTAAGAGAGAAGTTATCCTTCTTATTTGAACCACTGCATTTTAGGCACCCCTTAAGTACCCCTAAGCCACAGCAGAGGCTTCTCTATGGTAGTGTATTAAATTGTACTGTGGCTTATAGTTATTTATATAAATGTCTCGTTTTCTCTACTAAGAAACCAACCCCTTGTTGGTTTCCCTGCTTCCTATCTTTCCCCCTACACTCTATTCTCAGCTGAGGTGATTTATTTATTTATTTATTTAAAGTTTTTATTCATTTATTTTTCAAAAGACAGAGGTAGCATGAGCAGGAGAGAGGCAGAGAGAAAGGGAGACAGAATCCCAAGCAGGCTCCATGCTGCCAGCACAGAGCCCAGTGCAGGGCTTGAACTCATGAAACCATGAGATCATGACCTGATCTGAAGCCAAGGGTCAGATGCTTAACCATCTGAGCCACCCAGGCGCCCCTGAGGTGATCCTTTTAAAGGGGAAGTCAGATCATGTCAAAACACACACACACACACACACACACACACACACACACACACCAAAAACAAAAACACCTTACTCAGTAAATGCAGAAATCTTTAAAATGGCCTACAAGGTCCTACAAGGTCCATGATCGGCAGCCCCTCACTAATCGCCCTTATCTCACAGGCCTTATTTTCCATATTTTCTCTTACAGGTGTGCCCCACTTCCACCGACCCAACAGTCACTCTGCATCAGACACACCAACCATTTTACTATTCCACAAACAAGTTAGACACTCTCCTGCCTTGGGGTCTTTGCACCTGCTTTTCCCTCAGCTTGTCCCAGATATCAACATGGCTCATTCCTTTATCTCCTTCAGGTTTTGCTTCAAATGTTATCTTCCCAGATAGGGTTTCTCTGACTATCCCACTTAAAATTATACTCTCCCTCTTCCCTACTACAATCCTGTCACATTATCCCACTTCCTTGCCTGATTTTCCTCTACAGCACTTATCACCATTTGACATATTATATATTGTCTTTATTTACACATTTATTGTTCAAGAATGTAAGCTCCATGAGAGCAGGATTTATTTAAAAATTTTTTAATGTTTATTTATTTTTGAGAGAGAGTCAGAGGATGAGCAGGGGAGGAGCAGAGAGAGAAGGAGACACAGAATCCGAAGCAGGCTCCAGGTTCTGAGCTGTCAGCACAGAGCTCAATGTGGGGCTCCCATGAACCATGAGATCATGACCTGAGCTGAAGTCAGACACTTAACCAACTGAGCCACCCAGGAACCTGAAGAGCAGGGATTTTTGATTGCTTACTGCCATATTCTCAGTGCCCAGGACAGTATTAAAAGTATTCAATTGGGGCACCTGGGTGGCTCAGTCGGTTCAGCGTCTGACTTTGGCTCAAGACATGATATCAAGGTTCACGAGTTCGAGCCCTTTATCGGGTCCTGTCCCCCACTCTCTCTGCCTCTCCCCCACTCGCATGCATGCACATACACCTTCAAAAATAAACATTAAATTTTTTAAGTATTCAATATGTATTGAATGGATGAATTCCTTGGGCCCTAATACCTTCTAGTCCCCTCAATGCCTAGCACAGTGCTTTGCATGCCATAAAGCACTCAGTAAATATTTGATGAATGAACTATGATGGAAGACTACTAATATTCTGCCTTGAAGTTTGCTTCCTTCTCCAAGTACCCCTATACACCTGGGCCTACATTAAATTCCTGAACTCTTAAAAGTATGACAAAGGGTCAGTAGGAGAGGTCCTCCATGGACACTGCTGAAAACGGCAATAACAAAGCTAGGATGCTGCTTTGAGTATTTTCTGCCTTTGCCACTTGGACAAATCCCTTTGCATCTCTGGGTCTTAGTTTCACCATATGTAGGATGAAGCTAGGAGACTAGATGATTTCTGAAGTCCGTTCTATTTTTACAGCTTGTAGTTATGGTGCTCATAACTAAAATTGTATAATTCTAAAATTGTATGATTTTTCTCTTCCAACCTGTGATTGGAATATGCTTACTGAAAATGTGGTGTCAGAATAAAGGCCCTCTTTGGTCCAATTAGCAAGCATCATCATAAAAATAATAAAACGTGGTGTAAAAGGCCATATTAGCAACATGCAGACATGACAGTGAGGCTCCCATGAGGCAGATAAGACCAAAAACTAGGTTTTCTGATTCCTTCAGGGTTCTTTATCTCAAGTCCCATACATATATTTAATTTCCTCTCCTTTCCAAGGGTTAGATAAATCAGATCTTTATCGGCAAGATATTTTGGAAAATCCACACTCCTTTACTTGTTTGAACACACTTGGTCTCAGCATCCGAGACAAAACACAACTTTCTCTTGCCGTGTCTCTGGATGATTGAGGTGACATGTCCTCAGTCACCTTCCCCTTGGGACTTGTCTTCCAGGCAAAGGCAACACAGTACAGTTGCAAAAGGTAAGCATGCCCTTTGAATGCACCTGTGGTACGGGTGTCTCTCTGTGATGTAAACGTGCTTTAATTCAGCCCTATCCTTATAAGGAGATAAAAATCACGTTCAGAAATATGCAAACTCTTGTTCAGAAACCTCCCCTTCATTCTGACAAACTGGCTGCCATCCTGATAAACAGATTTTCTTAAAAGGAACTGTAAACCAGAGCCAAACTTAATTTCTGGCACTGAAGGAAAAAAAAAGCGTGTCTGATTTCCCGCTTGCGAGAAAGATCTGGCACTATGCGTCACCAGCATCCCTGCACTCCCCAATCAAACGTGGTTTCCTTTGGCGCTCCTGAGCCAGCTCTCGCCCACTGCCTGGCTACGGGGGCGGGGCTATACCTTAGCCTCGCCCCTTTCGTGGCCTCCAGCCAATACCTGAGACAACTGGAGGCAGGCAAAAGCCACAGTGAGGACCCGCCCCTCGCTCCCGTTCAGCTAATCAGGGCGGACGGGGTGTGGATTTCTTTGCTGACCCCGCCTTCCTGGCGGTGGGCAATTTAGAGCCGCACGCCCGGCGGGAATGTAAGATGGCGGAGTAGCAACGCGAAGCGGTTTGGACCTGAGTCTGTGGGCCGACTTCGGTTCCGGTCTCGGCAGCAACAGTGATCGCTGAGCAGAGAGTGCCTAGGGTGGTTGGCCAAGATGCCGAATATTAAAATCTTCAGCGGCAGTTCCCACCAAGACTTATCCCAGAAAATTGCTGACCGCCTGGGCCTGGAACTAGGCAAGGTGGTGACTAAGAAATTCAGCAACCAAGAGACCTGGTAAGGACGAAGTTGGGACCCCAACCCGGGGCGGCAGGGACCCCGCTTGGAAGGCAGAGAGTAGGGGGATGGGGCCGCCGCGTGAGTTCTGAGGGACCGCAGGGAGCGGGGGAAGGGGAAGGGGCAGCTCTGTGGCAAGCGTGCCCCACGGGCTGTTTCCGTTATTTTACCTCTCGCGGGAGGGTCACGTTCATTCTCACCGTGAGGTGGGGTGGAGTCAAGATGGAGCATGAGGCGAAGCTGTCGGGTTTGAAGTCAAGGGCCGGAGGACCCAAGGCGGGGTAGTGGCTGCCTAGAGCTACGGGAAGGGAAAGACGCTTAGCCTCGGCCAAGGGGACACGTGGCTTTGTCGCTTCGCTGTTGAGCTATCCTGACTGGACTGGGTTCACTTTAACTCTTGGGCCAGCTTGCTTGGGAGAACCTTACTGCGTAATAAGCCCTCCTGGTGTTTCTTTTAGAGTCTAAGAAGCAGCTTTTCAATTCGAAATGGTGTCGGTTGGGTTTCGTTTTGAAGGAAATTGACATTAGGTACGGAGGGCGCCAAAATGATTACTAAGGACTTCCCTTGGATTGGCAAGCGTTGGCTTTTCACATCTTTAGAATCGGAGCCATACTTAAGTTAAATCTAGTTGATCAAATAAAGTGATGCATTAACTCTGCATCCTGATTGCCAGCATCTCAGCTTGAGCCATCCAAAAATTTGGGGGAACCTTAGTTCTGGAATCCTTGACCTTTCCCAGTGCGGGTACTGGTACAGATGATACAGAAACGTATTTTTCAGTAGCAAAGTCCCTCCTGAACTCGTCCACTCCTCTTAGCGCTGTTGTGAGGATTTTAGGAAACAGTTTTCATCGCAGAGTGTTAAGATAATGGAGGAAAGATAATACAGTGGAAGACCGGAATTGCATAGTACATTGCAGCTGGAATTTTTTTCATTGCCTTGCTAATTAAACGTGCTCCCTCCCCCCACTCCCAACCTCCTCCTGCACCTTGGGGCCATCTTAAAAGATAACTTAGTTATTTCATCCTTTCAGTGTGCCTTCCACCTAAATGTAGAATCTTCTGGTTCTGATAGGTATACTTTGTGTTTTGTGGTCCTGTTGATCAAATCAGAGCTGGGTCCACAGTCTTACGGATGCAGTCATCTAGTCAGTCATCTAGTAAGGGGAAAGTTTACACTAAGTCTAATGGTCAGTTAAATTAGTTAAGGTTACTTTCAACATTTTTTCCTAAATGCTTTTTTTTTCCTTTTTTTTCTTTCTTTAAACTTACTATGGAAGTGTAACTCCCCTATCCTTTCTAGATCTGCTTATAAAAGCATTCATCTGTAGTGGACAGCTTCCTTCTGGATACTTGATTGTTGTACTGCTGGTTGTGATGCAGATGATAGTGCAAACACTGACACCATCTGTAACTAGGCAATACCTTAGTCAGAAGAGGCTAGCCAAGCTGCTGTCTGTAGCTTTGACCACACACCATTATGACACCCTAATAATGAAACTATACAGGACCAGACATTGCATGTGGCAATACAGGTGGGGACAAGAATGATTTTCATTTAGAGGGGTTTTTTGCCCGCCTTAGAGAACTATGGTTATTAAATCCTCTTCCTACACTTCTAGGAAAAATCCAAAGACTTTATTTTTCTTTGTGTTAACCCTTCACCCTCTGTCATAATGCAATACTCTAGAGCCTGAAACTGTATTGGGAGAGGGGGAGGACGAGAACAATTCAGTGTTCTGACCGATCTGGATTCATCAGCAATCCCCATCTATTTCTGAAATCAGGCTGGTTTCATTTTTAAACAGCTGGACAGAGGCATGCTTGGAAACATTGGTTAAGATTAAGCCCAATGTGGAAAATGGCTGACTGGTTTGGTTTCCACGTTTCAGGCTTCATAGCTTTTTGGTTCCCTAGGTGTTCTGAAATCTTCATTGAACATAATTGAGTATGTTGCCCGTGGAGCTTCCCTCTTCCATCCCCCACCCCCACCTTTGGCTCTTCTGCACTGTAGAAATGGTAACTACTGCCCTGTGTGACTCTTGGGCTCTGAAGGGCATAGACAGAGCAGCTCAGTGGGTACTCTGGGTAATCAGATGGAGAACTGCAGAGCCCATCCTCAAATGAGACAGTTTTGCTATTTGGCAGAGTCACAGGGGTTGGTGCTCTCTCAAGCAGAGTGGCATTACTTCTCGACTCAGGAGCCTCCCTTGCTGTCCAGTTACGCAGGAAACATACATATAGGTGGGTGTATTGCACACAAAAAATAAGAGAGATTAGAAGCTCAGGCTCTGGAATCAGAGAACCTGCATTTGAAATCTTAGCTTTTCTTTGCCTCACCTGTAAAGTAATAGCTACCCATAGAATTATTGTGAAGATTAAATGAGATAAATTAGAACATTGTCCAACCCAATAAATGCACAGTGGATGTTGGTAAGCAGTTGTGGTGATGGTATTGCAGAAACTACAGAAGAGGACAAAGGGGAAAGAAAAAAGACCTCCCAGATAGTGCCGCCACCACCCAAGATCAGCTGTTCACATTTTGATTTATGACCTTCCAGATATTTTGTGTGTTTATGTACTTTTCCAAAAATGTAAGGTATCTATGGCTTTCATCACTTAGCAATATATTTTGAATAATTTCTCCCCTTAATATTTAGTCTACATGGTTTTAAATAGCTGTTCTGGTCTTCTTACAGTTTTACCATAATTTTAGATAACTGAGTAGTAGATATTTCCTGTTGTTGACTAATGCTTTTATATGAAAACCTTTGAACACAAATCTTTGTCCATTTCCTTAGGACAAATCCCTAGAAGGGGAGTTACCAAGTTAAGGGGTAGATGCCATTTTTCAGGCAACTGATAACATGTTACCAAATTGCCCTCTAGAAAAGTTGACCCAATTTCTGCTCTTGCTCTCTAGAAAAGTTGACCCAATTTCTGCTCTCATCGGCAATAATCAAAATAATAGTAATTAATGTATAATGAGTGCTTAAGAGGTGCTAGTTCCTATGCTAAGTACTTTATACATTTCTGATCCCCTCTACCCTGCTGAGAAGTTACTATCCCCATTTTATGGATGAAGGAACTAAGATTCAGAGGTTAAGTAACTTGCCCAATACTGGGTACTATTGCTTACAATTTTTGTTGATGGAGTATCTCATCTGGCTTTTAAAACTTATGAATAAATTAAAGTTTTTGATGTTTTTTTGATTCTCTTCAATATCAAGAAATAGCTTTGGTTTATTTGGTTACTGTGGATAGGCTCAGAGGGGGGAGGACTTTAACTTTGATTGTCTATGATTTTCCTAAGAACCTTGGTTAGTTAATCCCTTGGTTAGTTAATCCCTTGCATTTTGCACATGCCAATGTCTCCATCTAAATTCTTGAGATTTTCTTAAGAAGACTATCCGCCTTTTAGATTTCGCTTTATTTCCTATTGTGTTTCTTAGCATTCCATGCTGGTTGGATGCACTGATGCTAAAGTAAAGATAAAGCAGAAGCTGTTTTTCTCATTGGATGGACATAGCCAGCCTGGCCTTGCCAGAAGATTGGGGGAATGATTGGCCCAAAGCCATTTGGAGAACACACCATTAGTAGCTAGAGGGAGAGAACATGGAGTGTTACCCTTTAAATTGCTAAACTAGGTCTTTCCACCTGATAAATTGCATTAAAAGCAAACAGGTTTTAGCCACAGCTCTTCTACCATCAATCACTGCCTAATTTATCATCTCTTAGACTTAGAGGAAACCATAGAAATAATACTAAGATTTTTTGAGGACTCACTGAACTATTGATTGACCAAGCTGTATAATAGGAGTATAGTTTGCAGGTATTTTAAGGCTTTCTGAAAGTCTGTACCTTATAATACTACTGGAGGGGCAAGATTGATCTTGATTAGTGAGATTAGAATACACAGTAAAATAAGGCAGTGTCCTAGTTTTACTTACACTGCTTTATTTTGCATATAGTTAAATAAATAAAATTTTCAAGTTGCTAGATACATGTCTGGTCATAACACCTTTCTATGCTTCAGGATTTAGTCCTAAATTTGGTTTTGGGAAATGGCTGAACTGTTGGTTGATTTTTAAAGGCATACCTCTGCTAAATCTATGTATGTAGCAAATGGTCTCTCATGTTTAACTTGGCAGTGATAATTTAATTTTATAATTAATACTTTAGCTGCTTTCAAGAAAGGATTTGAAGTGTGTTTCATGATAGTCACACGATTTGTTAAATAGATGCTTCAGAAGCCTTCTAGAACAAAGGCCTATCATAATTGTGCCAAGAATTTGGCACAAGGTAGTTACTGCAGTCTAGTGTTACTTTAACTGCATCCCTTGGCTTCCTGGTAGCCAAAGGGATCTCTCAACTTGAACTAACCACCGTGTGCCAAATTCTTGGCACAATTATGATAGGCCTTTGTTCTAGAAGG